GAGAGGGACGAGAGAAAAGGGCGACGAAGGAGACGAAGGCAGAAGGGACGACATAAATAAGGGTCGTTGGTAGTGCGTGCGCAAGTATAACTGTTCTCGAAGCACATGGACCTATTTAAGTGTATTTGTCTCCCTGCAATCCTACTTCTCCTGTGTGTAATCTAATGAAAAATACGATGAGTTAACGTTGTTAAAGATAATATTGCTTTGCTACTCTTTATATTCTTCTGTTTATTATTTCTTTGCTTTAGTAATTAATTACAGTAATATATTTATCAATATACGTATACAAATTGATTATTGATGCTAACGAATTAGCCCCTGATTATTGACATTAACATTCCTTATTGTATAAATCACCACATGTATGAAATAAATGGGAAAGGTATTCTAGTGTAAAATGGCTATAATTCTTAACGTCACTATCCTTCTATTAATCTTTCTTTTACTATAAATAAGCAATAAAATTATGTATAAGCATTAAATGCCCACAACTTTAAATTCCACTTATAATAGATAAAATATTTATCATTAATGTAAGAATTATTATTACAAGCACTGAGACGAACCTACTAGTTATACACGTTACATAGTTCCATGACAGGAATTGGTTGTTCCCAACATGAAATTATATGTTTTTTATCGTTCGAAGTGAAATTTGATTAACGTTGAATAGAATTTAATTAACACTTGGAACATTTTCATAGCCAAGCATTTAATTAAACGATCTTTGATGCTTCTTAAAGTAGATAGAAGTTATCTGAAGGCAAGCGATCTTATGTAGTTAGTAACATTTTCCGATGGGATTGTGATGTCTCATAAAGAGACGATTTATTCGAATTCCTAGTGACAGCCGGGATTCGGTAGGCTCGGTCGAGAATTAAAAGATTATTAATTACGTGTATCGAGAGAGATGTACGCTGTAGGGGGCTCGAAGCAGGAAACGGCTAACGGACGTCCAGTTGGATTATCGTCTTTCCGTGAATTTCCATTTAATCAGGTTCTTATCGGGCCGACTAATCTCACGAGTTTTTAGTTGGGTCGTAAGGACGAATCCAAGCGTGAAGCTGTGAAATTCATGAAAATCCACAAGTGGTAAAACTGCTAACTCTAATATTCACCCACTCTAATATTCTTTCTCTCTCTATTACGCAAGCGTTGACTAAGCGAAGAATAACGTAATAATAATGACTAATCTGAAAGATTTAGTGGCGAACGGTTATGATCGGCACGTGAAAACCTCGCAAAGTTAAATCCTTCGAACAAAAACGTGATGGAACGCTGGAATCTAGTACCAGTATCAAATTTCCAATTGCATTCTTTGGGTCGTCCGATTAATTTTTATGCACGACATATTTTATTTCATTCACCCATTCTCATATCAACGACCGCAAGTATTCTTTCTATGTTCGTGCTTGTCGGAACGATTACTTCCAATTTAATTTAATAAATTAAATTCTTATAATATTATCTACTAATATTGTTGAATATGTTGAACGTACGCTAAATGTTAATGGATAATTTCTACAGAATATCAAATCAAAATTCATTTCCAAATCATCTCTGTATTGCCCTCTCGGTGCTCCGGACAGAAACTGCACAGTAATGATTCCTTACCAACAAGTGCTAAAGCGAATCTCTGACAATCTATCACAGGTATGGTTGCTCTGATTCTGCCGCAGACAAGATAGAAAGTAATATTAACACCTCATGTTAAATATTCAATATTAACGAGCTAATATTTCTTACTTTTGTGCTCCACTAGGTAGCGTGGATATTTGAATTTAATTATACCAAGGAGAGATTACTAGAAGTAAATGCATTCATTTATAGATTACAAAATATAAATATAGTAATTTGTAATTAATATTGTATAGTATGTATTCAAATATATTTAATTTTTGCTGGGAGAACTATATACTATATAACTATTTCTAGAGAACTATATGTTATAGAACTATATAACTATTTCTGGAATTTTAACTGAAAATCAGTACGTAAGATTAAATTGTTAGTAAAACATAATGGCAGAAATAGGAAGTAAACAGTAGAAGTGAGCTGGACTAGTTTCATGTTTACTTAACATCTTTGTAAAAAATTTATGTATGTACATATTGATTGGTAAATGCAATCTTTTCAACTTATCGCTGTCACCGTACATGGACATAGCATGTACCTATCTATCGTTTAAGTATTACAATTTTTTATGAAGTGTATCATTTATGCACCAGTAATATACGCAGTAGGAATTATACACATTGCGTGGCGTTCGCATATTATTAAAAGCAACATGCTTCGCATTAGTCTGCCATTCGTATATATCTTTAGATTTTTATAAGTGATCTGCATTCTCCCACGAAGGTCCTTCCTATTTAATTAAATATAATCGAACTATGTACTTCAATGTCTCTCTTAAATAACTCCTTCTTTACAATCACATACACGTTTGTCGACTTGTTTGTTTAAATTTCGTATTACATCGTTCGCTCGAAGATCTCTGCAGTAGTCCCAGTATTTTCAGAGGGATATTAATATGAATCTTTTAAATCGCTTTCTAGCCGTGTTACGAAATCGTCTCATCAATGAAAACATATCCGGATTATACTCGCTTTCTAAATATAATAATCATACAATTAAATGTTAATATAAAGTTTGATTAAAAAAAAAACTAAGTCCTTTTTCTTTCACGTGCAATAATATAACGTAATGAATATAGTACAGAAGGAACTTAATTGCTCGAAGACAAAGATAAATAAATCCGTAAGGAAATCCTCTTATCTGTCTCCCACTTCGTTTCCCTGAGAGAGTCATCCGTAATACTTCTCAGAATAAGGAGGAGGGTATGGTTCCTGTACTTATGCCTCTGGATTACCTGTCCCTTCATGCACAACGGTAATTACGAATTGCGAATCGATATTCCTTCTTCTCTCCTCTCTCTTCCCTTCTGTCGTTCTTCCTCTCTCTGCTGAACGAGCGGTACATAATCTCGTCTACATATGTATTTCGCCCGCGTTACCAATCGTGATATGCGTTTTCCAGCGGACGTCATCCTGAACCGAGCCATAATTCCTCCGAGGTGGACAGTTAACACGCATACGGCCGATGATTTTTCTCCTGAGCGAGCTGCCCGATGATCTTATTGGTCACTATCCAGGCAGGCCTCCGGTACGTGATATTGTAGCAATCTTATTTGAATTGTTAATACGCGTTGAAAAAATCGCGACACGCCAATGGGTGTGTACGATTCACGTGATTACACGAGCCGACGTTAATTACCGAAGGTGCGATCTCCACCTGTTACCTCGCATGCGTACACTATCCTTATTTCTGCAATTTTTATTATAACCTGATAATAAAAAACGTAATGCAAATTATGACGTCTCATTTGTCAAGTGCCAGGAATGATACTTTAAACGTCAAGTTGTAAATCATAGTCTACGCTAGTTTAGAATATGTCTTAATTTAAGCTGGTTGCATATCACGATAAATATTCACAGCATAGTAATCGCCCTTGATAACTTACCTAGACTGTACCTTTTTTTCCAGAGCAATTAATAATGCATGTATAGTACCATTTGATGCAAATTCTTTTCATTTTAATAGAAGGGTAAATGACGTATTATTTTAATAATTTATCTGTAAGTTTTCCTTTATCATGGAATAATCATCTGTCGTCTTGTTTGACTAATGAAAACCAGTCTTGTATATCTGTTGAAGTATTCTGATTAAATGTGACATTTTTATTGTTCTCTTTGTTTTATAGTAATACGTAAATCATGAATGTGTTCGTTCGTCACGAGTCTAAACATAGAATGAGATCGGGGATAATAAATTACCAGCACGTGAGAGAACTTTAACGGTGAGAAAGACGGATTTATGATGGATATCGTTAAAACCATATCCCTGTTGCATGTGGGTCGGTGATTTAGGAGCAGAAACAGTAGGACGTAACGTATAAGTATTAGCTCCTTCGGTACGATATTGTAATTTTCGTTTCAACAATAATACGGAAAATTGATAGTTAAAAATTGTGCACGCTATTAATTTATTTATACAATTCAATCATTTAAAATATAAGATTCCTATGCTTGTTTATTTAAATATGATTTATTTACTTAATCGTTTCATTATAAATGAAACACCATTCTCCAGTAATTGAAAATGATAGGATTGATTTATGTGCTATGATAATCATTTCTATATTATTATTACACTGAATAATTTCATTAGGAAAACCGAGAAAACTAATAAATAGTAAATCCTACGTATTGACATATTCTCAATCAGATAAAAATCTATCCTTGCATCGCAGGTAGGGCATCTATATAGACTACTTTTAATGTGTGATTTTTATGCCGATATCGCGTCGTTGCAATGTGAGTAACTTCGTCCGGCCGAGTCCCACTCATTACTAACAGTAATTCTAAAATTGTGCTCCGTGCCGTTCAACTCGCACGCACTGTATCTAAACAATTGAATCCGCTTCAGACGCGCTGCTTAACTAATTATGATAATCGCAGCGCGAGTCGATATAATACATAGCAAAGCGAACGCAACTTGCGAGGAGCAATTAGAATAAGCCGTGGCGAAAAGATTTTAATCGGCGTTCGAGTAATATCGTAAAGATTTGGCGGTAAAAAAAAAGGAAACTCCGTGGTGCAATAATACTGCCCTTGTTCTACATCGTTTCTTTGAACAATCTGCGTTCAACCTCGGGCTAAACCGGAGAACAGGAACCCAGGTAGGAGGGGAAAAGCAGTGCGTCTACAGTGTTGAAACTTGCGGCGATCGAAACTCGATGCATTACACGGAACATTAAGAAATTAAGGCCGATGACTGTAGATAAAGTGTAGAATAAAAATCTGATCAAGCAGATCTAAAAACGCTTTTAGCAAGGACATTTGGATCGGGACTGGCTGTGGCAAAGTGGCCGAACAAACGTGAGGCCTACCCGTGCATGGCGATCCTTGGTATAATAATTAATTATTAATTAACTCGATTCATTTATCATTGGCACTTAGGTATATCGATCCTCCCACGGGAGATATTTTGTAATGTACATACCTCGTGTACCTCGAGGCCGTCGGTTATGTAAAACAGACGATAAAAACGATCATTCTATATGAAGGAGCGAGTATTTAAATGTAGATTAATCATCGAGGTATACCTATGTCAGTCGTAATGATACTTATAATATTTGTTCGGTAATTTAGAACCGCAATGAGTTCTTTAAGACACACATTATTTGTATACTCATAATAAAGACGTGCAACTCGTGCACTATTAATTCATATCATATATTCATAATATTCATAATAGTACATAGAAAACATTTATATGCTTTTAATGCCGCGTATTCCATGTAATTAACTGGAAGATTTAATGATTTAGCTCGTTGGATGGAAAGCGTTTCGCACCTTGAAACGTGACGTTAACTTCCGAGATACGATCTTGATTCGTTCGTCTGTACAGTTCCTTTACTCGTATGCTTGGACATCCGTAGTTAGCACGGTAATTAATCCTTTCGATTCTCCTTTCCATGTTTAATGCACAGGGTATCCTCGGTTTTCAACGTTTCTATAATTTTATCGTTCGGTTTCATTCAGTGAAATCATCGTGCGAATACAGATTGCAAGCCTGCTTATTGTACACGAAGGACGATTAATCGTATGTTCTCCGACGAACATTATCGCAATTTTTCTTATTATGCTATTCTATTAATGCACTCTTCTTGAGATTATGCAATACTATCAATTGACGCGTGGCTTTGTTCCATGTAACGCGAAAGCTAGAGAACATCGCAGTCGGATTAAGATGTTCAATGATTCATCCACGCCGACTGATGAATTACCTTCGATAGTTTGCTTTCTCCACAATCTGCTAATTTATACGTTTCATGAAAGATTGATACTAGCTGTAATAGGTAACGTTCTTAACTATGATACTATGTTTAATTTAAATAATTCTATTTGTAATAAATGTTCATTCTACTTTATTGTTCTCAATTTTTTAAACGTATCTCTATTACATTCCATTATCATGAGTACAATAATTCTTTTAAATTTAAATTATATAAAATTTATTTATTTTCATCAATAAGGGAGTTAAGCAAAATTTAAGGAAAACGTGTAATGTAAGTTTTGATGCACTTTTGATTTGAGTTGCAAAAAGTTTACGGTTGTTGCACGTGTTACAGAGAACTGTAGGTATGTGTGGACGTGAGTGTAGGAACGGAAACGTAGCCGATCGCATACGATACCGTTCCACGACATTCACTCGTCTATGAATAATATTAATTATACCAATCACCTCTTCCTTTTGCATAATTACCTTGGGATATTCCTCTGGTTGCATATATTACAGATTAATTCCATGCATAAATAATTAAAATTCGTTTGCCTTTGCACGAGAGTATACATGCACCGAGGAACAAGGCACGTTACCCTTTCCCTTTGAGCGTAATAAAAGTTTAGCTGAAATTCAAATTGGAGTACGTGCAAAAGTGCAAAGTTAATTAATTTTTCAGACTTACCACATAATTAAAAATGAAATTCGCCGGCAATAATTTTCTAAGGGAGAAACTCGAGGGGTTTCAACCTCGACTTCAAATTTAACAGAACAATAGCGCTACGGTTTATTTCACGTAACTCGTTTCTTCAAGGCAAGTGAAAATTTCGTGATTTCTTTTTTTGTTTCACATCTTAATTAATAACGATTTTCCTTTTTCAGTTTCTCCTTTTTAGCTGCTACGTAAATGAAACTATATGAAGTACTTCTTTTGAATTTTTGAAGATATTTTAAAAAATATATCGTACACTCAAGCGTTACAAATATTTATTTGTGATTGACACGTAATTATTGCAATATGTAAAAATGTTAATTAAATTCTAATAACCGATGGCGACGGAAAAATGTTTTCAGTTCTAAATTCCATAAATTCTACGTTTTTCTCGCTGAACTTATACATATTTACATATGTATTACTCACCATCTGTTGTATAATCACGTTGATTATCATAAATTGGTGACTGTTTTTTTGCCACTAGCGATCGCGCATTTGTTCATAACTCACTATACTCTTACATCACACAAAATTAAGAGTACTCCTTAATTGTCATTGCGCAATCACAGTTCTTCAGCATAATTTTTCGCTAGATCGTGACGCAAATTTCAAGCTAACATTTGTATTTTTTTCTTCTCCTGTAATTGTCACGAATCAGTGATTGACAATTATTATTACGCATTGATTCCGAGAAATATAGTTAGATGTATAAATCAAGTAATGTGAGCACAGTATACAATATTTATCAATTCGACATTGACTGCTTCCCTTTCTCCTTTCTCCTCATAATATGCTAGTGCTCGTGAATTTCTAGCGTTGTGAATCAGTTCGTGAGTGTGAAACATCATAGAATGATCAACTACGATAATACAAGATGATTCTCTTTTTCGGAGGCGTATTGGTAGCGTGTGTAGTGTTTGTAGCCTGCATCACTCCACCGTATTGCAGGAGTATACAACGACAGCACAGTGAACGTTCGACAAGTTTATTTTATTAATAATCCAAATCAAAATACATCATCCAAATTATGTATTACTTAGACGGATACACTTTTAGATGAAAACGAGTCGAGTGAAGATGAATCAACTTTGGTTCAGATTCAAGTAACAGATTTAGGAGCAAATGCAGTACACAGCAAAAAGACCACCGGAGAATCGAATAGGGAACACAGCGCAGTCGATTCGAACAAAAATAAAGAGCAAAATGAAATTGCGAGTAATTCAGTTTATTCTGGAGAAGCGCGAATTGTACCAGTTAAAGTTTATACTTATAAACAGCATAGGTACTGTGGAAATAATTGAATAATAAATTTGTTAATACTTAAACTACGTAAATCTGACAACGCAATAAGTACTTCAGTTTTTCGTATTGCATTTGAAGCAAAACAGCATTAATGATTGTTTTTAAAATGCTGCAGAGTATCTGGAGGAATCTGGTCGTCCGTTTTGAAGGATCAGCTCCAGAATATTACGAATTCATCCTCAGAAGTGCATGGAAGCAGAAGAATCGTTCGGGCTCAGATCGAAAGGAATCCTACAAGTTCTAGTTCGATCGAACCCATCGATGCTGTTGTTAATAATCACAATTGTTCAGGACGCGTTCCGATACCGAGCCATGTAACGGATCAAGAAGCCAGGAAGCTGCCATCATCATCCGCCATCATCAAGAGACTGAAAAAAATACTTCGTCGAAGGTTTACATGCGACCTCTTTTATAATCAGCGTAATTTTGCTTTCAGCTTGAAATCTGAGATTTAACAATTCTACTAAAAGACATCAGCTCTTTCGCTTGAATACAATTTTTTTATTTTTATTTTATTGCCATTTTTAGATCCCAGAAAGCATTAAGTAAGCATGTAAAATCTGATGGTAATCAGAGTGTTCCTACTCAGACGTTAAATCAATGCTCGCCCCTGAAACGAAAAAGTGTGTCGACCTCCACGAGGTTAAGCGTGAACGGATCGAACGTAAAAACGCGTAACGGCGAAGTTATCATCAGGCATGATAGCGATAATGACGAAACTGTGAGACATTTGCGGCCTGATTCACATCAATCAAATACAGGACCGTTTCAGGAAATGGTATCCTTGATCAAACGTGAATCAACGAACGGGAATTCGGTCTGCGATTTAAGGATAAGAGGCTTGGTGGTGAACCAGTCTCAATTATTGGAATTATTTAATGCGGCCGAGGGAGTCAGCCGAAATGCGTCGATCGTCACAACCGAGGAGGCGTCGGTACTCACTATAAAGTTCAACCGTCGTAGGGAAAGCAGCGAAGGGTCTTTCACGAGAAACACTTCTTTCTACGAGTGTCCATTAGTGAAATTTTACAGAAATTTACCCCAGATATTTGAGGATTTATCGATCTCCAAATTGTTTCATTCGCAAGATGTGTCTAACAATCCTCAACACGACAGTTGTAATAATCACTTGAGGAACGATAGTTCCTACAAATCATTCCCTAAGATCACCAACAGATTCGAAAAACATGTTCGATAGGAAAAAAATGGTTTATTCAACCGCAGTCGCGTCGAAATTCGATGAAGGATGACGAATATAAGACATCCGTCACATATATGTTTTTATCATTAAGCAGAACTCATTGTCAGAAACATTTTATTCGACGAAGCAATTGTTTTTTTCGTTTTATTCTCCGAACCAGAACAGGAATCCCAACTAAGATTCCTGGTTCTCTTTGCACATTTTCAGATCATATATGTTATGAATTATTATTAACAAAGCGTAAGAATTCTTATGAAAATTCTTGTCATATTCTCGCCTCGCGGATGCTATTAATTAACAACGAGAATGTAAAAGAATAACATTAATACTAATCATGTCAATTAAATATAATGCATATGCTACGTACTTATAAATTAATATTATGTTAAAAATATTTTTATATGATCTTAACAGATATAAAGTTATTAGTTTTACATATCCATTGACTTTGCAAGTTAGACAGCGATAGCGTAGTTAGATAGCGATGACATCCATGATTTAAAATTGTTAGAATACTACGAATTATTAATAAACGATTAACACGTCAAGCATTCGATCATTTTCATTCACTCGTTTTTGCACCTTCCACGTGTATGCGACAATTATTTCGAAGATTCCAACAAACGCAACCAGTGTTGTTTGATCGTAATTAAAAGTCAACAGGATAAAAATTACAATAGAAATCTCCCTTTTTGCTTCGATCCTAACACGTCGCATTGAACGTTATGTAAACTTCAATCAATCGCATTACAATGTACGCTCGCGGCTCGAAAAAATGCCGATTGTGTAATGATAGCACGCGTGCACCGTCTTTTCGCATTGTCTTCTCGTTGAACTATCCTGACAAGATACACAATTAATTAATCGAGACGAGAACACGTTACAGGTATTCTCATTGTTAAGTAACTGGTAACGGTTCTCCTTCCTCGACTACGTTTCTCTCTTTTCAACTTACGTGTCGTCAGAATATTCTATGCGAGAAGAGACGGGAAATTGAATACTTTTATCAATTTAATTAATTATGTTGATCGGCCAAGAGATAACTCGCGTTTCTATCCACACTGACACGATCAGATAATGAGACGCTAACAATCTGAAAACGAATTCCTCTTCGCATACTAGCTCTAAATGGTGATCGATGCTTTTTAATTATGCCGTTTGATAGGAATCAAACCAAAGTGGAACAAACTGTGCGTTTGACCTACCTACTTAAAATACAGAATTTTTTCCTTCTTTTGAAACATCTCCAGTCGGTTTCAATCCTCTCTCGCAGAGTGACACTCCAGTTGTGTAGAGTTACTACGGTTAATGTTGTCAGTATTCAAGATTATATCGACCTACACACCTCCGATCTCGTTACGCAATCACAACCATCCCGACATGAAATATAATGTAAAACATCGATCGTAATATCACATGCAAATAAAACTTCAGAATCGAAGCTTCGTGTCTTCATGCAAATCGCATTGTACAATTAATCAGACTACACGATCTTAATTAATTTAAACCACGCGGAAGGAAGTGATTATAATTATCACTTTTTGCACTTCGCACCTTACGCCTTTATATAATTTTTATATTCATACTTGCATTTGCATTTTTCCATAACATTGCGAATATTATAATCAATGATAATAAGAGGCTTAATTACTAGAAGCAACAAGGATTTTCATTAAAATTTGTGATTGGCAAAATATGTTCAAGGGTCTTTAATTCTTTACGACACGTCTGTGCTTCAATAGCGTTTCCTGCTCAGTCTTAAGTCTGTGAACGTCGTTTCTAGAATGATCACGAGAGTTTGATGGCCATTTTTCTTTGATAATTATCTTTGTTGCTTATACTAACAGCCGCAAGCCGCGGGCTAACAGGTGTGTCATCACAATACTTTGTGGCTAACTCATCTAAGTCGTTCTAGGAAGGGAATACTGATTACTGAGAGATCGACATAGATTCGATCACGTACGCTTGAAACATTTATTCCGTAATTATCGTACAAAGAAATCCAAGATACATTACATAATTAATTTATCTTATTAAATATTGGCAAAAGTTATTAATTTATATTATTTATAAAATAGTGGAATTAATAATAATTCTTGGTTACTCTATTACACATTATTTAAATACTAATATATAAATTTAACTAATATTAAATACTAATAATACTAAGGGCATTGTTTAAACGCGTTTTGTAAGAATCTGATTTTGTTTAAAAATGCCCTAGTAATCTCATTTGGTATTAGAAAAACGTCTGACAAGTAAGATCGTAATAAATTTATATTATCTCCAGAATACATTCCGAAGGTTACAGGAACAGTTATCGAACCTCGTTATCCGACACTTTTTTCAATCTTCGCTTCGCTTTGTGGTTGCACGCTTCACTAGCGTTTCCTGTTCCGGTTTGTCATGGAGTAACAAACAGCTTGCTAAGCGATAGATTTCAGGACCCGTTGCAAATTGGTAACAAATAATCCTTGCCAATATTTGTTTTTGCCAGGAGGGAAAGGCGAAGTGGAATAATGTATCCTTTACTTTGTGTGAGAATTAAACCAACAATTATTTTTATGGACAGTGGATATTGCAAAATTATCGTTTTAAAGCATGTAATTGTATACATCATACAAAGTTACAAACATTCAGTAATACTTTTGTATATTCTTAATTACCAAGAGTTGCGTAATTATGAGTAAACAGGTTATTAAGAAACATAAATCATTTGGATTAATTGCAGAAAAGGATGCAATAAAAAGTTATGTGCGATTCCACTGAAAAATATAATATAATATATAAATAAAATATAATAAATAATAATATTAAAATTTTATTTGTATGTTCATGTCAGTAAATTAAATTTTAATCAATTATGAAATTATTTACTGCTGCTATCAAGGATCATTCCCTACTTCAAAATAATAAATTTTATTACAATAACCAGAAAAGAAAATTCGCTTATTGAATTAGTTTGGAATTAAGTTACATTGCCAATGGACATGATAATTCGCGGTGAACTTGTCGATCAATACTGGTGCGAAGTGTTACGTAATTGATTTATTTCCTTCTAACGATCGATAAGGATAATACACTGCGGTTACCCATTATTATTGTGATATTTTCTCTTTCCCTCTTTTTCTGAGCTAACGCACGTGATTTCAAGACAGCTTGAACGTGGACGTAGGCAGACTTGTCTTGCAGCTGTCCGGACAGGCCCCCTTCGCAGACCTTGAATTCTCTTATCCCGGTTAGGTGCTTGATCTTCCATAGATGGTCGCTTATCTGTTCTTTGTCCATTTATTTAGTTTACCATTACCAGTTTACCGATTCGAGTTTCGTACGATCTAATCCTGAGACACCGTCCACGTTCCGTATCCTTGAAAATTATTAATACTGCTTCGATTGATTATCGATCTCTTCTCTTCTCCTTGAACGTGTCGTTTGTTGATACTCTGTAATTACAGGAGTTACAAGAAGTATTTAAATCCTGTGACGATATTTACGAGCGTGCTGGTTTATTCTCTAACGTTCTAACGGCTGTGACTTGTGTAAGGATATGTATTAAGTTTGCTTCGAAGGGGATAAAACGTTAAACAAGACTCGTCATAATCATTTTCTCAGTACTTCCATTCCCGGATAATTCGTGCATGCATCGGTGTATTTCTTCGTATCAAAAAATATTGCATCTAGTTTTGCAATATCTTGTAATGAAGGTGCAATGTGCATAAGTCTTTATAGTCACGTTTTTCTCTGTTCACTAAACGTCAATATCGTCAAATACATATCTTGTCTTTAATCAATCACCGAACGGAATTATTTAGAATTCACGTCATGCAGCTACACAATTATAAAGTGTCATCGTTGAAAATGTCATCTCCTCTAGAACTCGTTAAACGCGTGGAATTTTTGATCCTTGAAGAGTCCGTTGCCTCGTCGCATTTCCAGGGGGTTGCTGCAACTGGTAACCTTGACAGACTCGTGAATGCAGGTTTTTCGCACACCTCCAACCGCAGTGGGCAAGTAAGAATTGAACATTCCGAATGTGTGATTCCTCGAACACGGTTTCATGGCAGAGGAAGATGATAATAATTATCACAGAAGCTGGGGAATACCCGGAAAGATGGGATTCACCTGTGCGACGAGGGCGGTCAATTTTATTCACATCTCGTTATGGATTCTCGTTACGATGCGATCAATCTTTATTCGGAGCGATTATATCTTTCTCTAGCTTCGCATTCGTAAGAGATCTATTCGTGTGACACGCGTTATTTATAGCAGTGCCTTCGTGTTCCTTGTAATCGATGGCAATTAAAAGGAAATAACAGCGTAAACTGATGAGAAAAAGATTGATCGTTGATTTTTTTTATTCTACGGAATAAAAACGAAAATAGAGACCGACAAGTACTTTTCATTTGCTATTAGTTATCATTTGATGTGAAAAATAAATAGAAGGTGGCATCAGGAAAATGCTAACATCGATCTGCGCTTGGAGAACCATGGAATTCCTCAGTATAGAGTCAACGACCGGTTGATGAAGAGTAGCCATGAAACGAAGTCATTTTCAGGTGGATGTAACTCGAACGATTAAACAGATTTTATTGGCCAATCGTATTACTTGATATCGTGATTAACTTTATCACGTGAATAAAACATCGTTATGGATGACGCATAATTTATCTTTACATAAAAATAGTTTCTTTCACTTGAATTTCGTGACTCACGCCTGTCCATCCAACTGGATCGAATTAATCTCGTTTGTCCTCGAACAATATTCACTACTATCTTCTAACGTTCAACAGTTTTTATAAACAAATTTTTTAATTGCTTTTCTCTTCCTGCTGTTTAACTGACAGAGCAACAAATAAATGTCCTTTACCGAGTTCGAACGATACAACCCAGAAACCTGTTTACCAGCGTAGATACAGCCTGTCGGTGAACTGCTTTAATTGGTCATGCATTTGCACGTGAACGTGAACGACAAGCTACAGGCCCGAATTCCCTTTTTCTGACACGCTGCCACTCGAACTAAGTCACCGACGTACAATTCATCGCCAGTGGAACTAATTTCGATTTGCATACAATTTGTTAACCTGCCTTTCGATACTGGCGAACGAGGTTTATTACCATTTTTTTGCCGCGATGTAATTCCTCATTAATACCACTATCAAACGACTATGGATTGCGAAATGGAATTCATGAACGAACAAATAAATTGTTAGATTTTGTTTATCGACTTGACGAACAAAACTCTTCAACTGGCGTTCGATCGTGTTTAACCGAGCGTGCCGCAACGCTCGGCGATCACATACATTCTAAATAATTACAATAATTAACGATCGATTTGCATCTCTTACTGTCTTGGGTTTCACTCGAGATCCACGCAAGGTCGCCAGGCACACACAGCACGCGTGTATCGTTATATCACAGTCCCGTATTAGTATTATCGCTAGTGCGCTATACAAATAGAGTGGAACTTTGTGATTCTGTTTTTATTTTTACAGATAATCCGTGAATTAATATTAATATTAAATTTACCATAAAATTATCATGTAAGTGTAATGCACCTGTTGATAAGGTTCATTTTCATTTCAATGCACGATCGATTGATTAGCTCCTCTGACAATCATTTAAAGAAATCTATTTTATGACAAGTAAAAATAAAAATGCTAAATGACCAATAAAACACGTAAGCAGCACGTGTCCGATCTCTTTGTCTTCACGCGATGCCTGCCAGCCTTTTACCTGTACGTTCTCACTAACAAAAACGTACAGCAATAATGATTAACATATTGGTCATTGATTTTCACATCACTTTTACTAATAATATAATTCGTCCTTTCGCAACAGCTTCACGGTGCAACGTATCCGTACCTTTTTTGCATTTTAAATAAAATCCAAGTGTGTCGCAGAAGCAAGTGGTATTGAATTGAGATAAAGTGGAGACACGGGATTTCAATGAAACATTTGATTAAAAGAATAAGTTATCTTTTTTATTCGTTTTTATTCCCTGCCTCTTTAATTGTAATCCGTCGTTCCACGGTATTTTGAGCAATCAGCTGATTTCGTAACGCGACAGTGACAGAACACGGGTTTCCGTTGCGAGTCAGAAACCTCGACAGTGGTTGCTTATCTGGAATAAGTGGCTCGTGATCCCTCCGCGAGAATCCTTATGAAATATGCCGAGTCTTAACGGGCTGCGTCTCTTCGTGGCGACCATGAAATCTGCCGACATTCCACGGGCTCAACTCGCTCACCAACGGAATTATCGTCGGATCATGGAAACGTTACGGAAAGCTTTTCCAACGTTCACTCGACTTCTCGCTTAATAGCTATTATTATCGTCATCTCGTGCATCAACTTTGTCTCCTTTTATCTGATATAAAAACTTTCCCGACGATTTTACTTAGTATTTATGGGATTTCGAAGTCTCGATCGCTAATCGATCTCTGGAAAAATATCACGCATCGGTGCCCGACGATTAGTCGCACGCGAGACAATGACAGGTTTAAAAGTAGGATGAGCGCACCTTGAACTCGATGAATCGGTAGACACGATCTCCGTCGGTGG